AATCTTTTTTTTTTTTTTTTTAATGATCAACTGATTTACAAAAATCCTGTTTTGGCTTATAAACGCTGCTTGATCTGTGCAGATTTCTCTCCTGATTCAGACCAGACCACTTTTTCACTGGAGGAAGAGTTATTATGGATTATGGACTCTATGTATTTTAGTTAAAAGCGTCTTAATGCTGGATTTGTTTCAGCTTTTGTCTTCTCCAGATGTTAACTGATGGACTGGAGTGCTGTGGATTACTTGTGGATTATTGTGATGTTTTTATCAGCTGTTTGGACTCTCATTCTGACGGCACCCATTCACTGCAGAGCATCCATTGCTGAGACACTGATGCAATGCTACATTTCTACAAATCTGATGAAGAAACAAACTCATCTACATCTTAAATGCATTATACAGGTTGCTTTGGAATACAAGTCGCAGAATATAAAAAAAATTGTTTCAGATTATTAAAAAAAATACTTATATTCCCGAAAATATAAGGCTGTTTTTTTGACATTGTACACATTTGATTCCACAACAAAACACCATCATGTCGTCTAATGTGATCATCATGACTGTCAATGAGACAAACGGCAGTGAAATCAGCATCAAAGTGTTCAATTATTTAACAAACTGCTGTCCAATTAACAAAAACAGACGAGTGTTAAATCACAGCCAGTGTCCTTGAGCTGAAGATGACTGGGTTTCATTGCGCAGGATAAATAGATGCATCATCTCATATTGGAGCTCAGATGCATCTCGGCTGACTCCAGAAATAAACCCTGATTACAGGACACAGATTAAAACCACCCACAGCTCCAGATTAATCAGTCACAGAAAATAAACATACGGAGCCATTCATAATCCACACACTGCACGGCAGAACAAACTTTAATTGCTGTTTTCACATGAGCATTACAGTTTGACAATATTCAAAGCATAACTTAATATTTGATGCATTTGCTGTAAAACCAGTGATTTTCAAAATGTTTCATGTAAGAAGTAAAATACAATTAAAATATCAAGTTAAAATAAGGAAAGGATCCCGAACAAGCCTTTTTTCTTAAATAATAAAAAAAAACACAATAAAATAAATTCACAATGTTGCTTAATTTTAATTAGCATGTGGATAAATATGAATATTTATTCATTTTTTTTAGTCCTGTGGCCGCAATATTATTATAGCTTTTACTAATTTTTAAAATTAGTTTCTATGTTTATATTTTCATTTTAATTTAATTTTATGAATGTAATTTTGTTGAGTGTTTGTCTTTTAAAAAAAAAAAAAATTTTTTTTTGTCTATACAGTTTAGACATTTTTTATTTTAGTTTAAGCTATTTTATTACATCAAGTTAAACAAAAAAATTTAAAATGTTGCCTTAGCAACTAGCTGAAATAAAATCCGTTTTAATGCTATTCTAATATTTGATTTTAATCAGTTAACGCTTATTTTATTTCAAGTAAATAATTTTTTATTTTTTCAGTTAACTATAATAACCCTGCAAAAAAAACAAACAAGAGATTAAAAAAAAAAAATTGATAAAGACCACAGAAGTAGTGAAACGGTTAACGTCAGCAGGTCTTAAAAAGGACATTA